GAAGTCTATCAGAGTCTCAAACTAGTAATGATGCTTATTCTGTCATATCTGTATATTGCAAAACTATTTGTTTTGTTCATTTCTATGATCTCTTCTGTGGCACATAAACATTTATAAATATGCTATCTTCATTTTTGAATTTTTTCCTTTTTTTTTTTTAGACAGGGTCTGGCTGTGTCACCTAAGCTGGAGTGCAGTGGCACCATGTCAGCTCACTGCAAACTTCAACTCCTGGGCTCAAGACAACCTCCCCTAGCTACTTCAGTCTCCCAGGTAGCTAGGACCGCAGGCATGCACCACCATGTCTAGCTAATTTTTGTATTGTTTGCAGATACAGGGTCTTACTATGTTGCCCAGGTTGGTCTTGAACTCCTGAGCTCAAGCAATCCACCCACCTTGGTCTCCCAAAGTGCTGGGATTACAGGTGTGAACCACCACACCCACTTTATCACCAGAAAGTACAGGTATTGTTACCCCATTTTTTTATTTGCCTACCACTTGTGTATTCTTTGCTATTTTTTATCCTCTACCACTTTTGGAATATTTGAATCTTTTAAAAAATCTTTTAAAATTTTACCAGCTTCATCTCTCCAAACCAATATTTTATGCATGACATTTATACTGTAATGGAATTCTTTATTTTGACTTATATTTCAGTCAATGGGAATATTTCTTAAAGGAATTTTAAAGGAAAGTTATATATCCTGAGTCCTTGAATCTATGAGGAGATCTTTCCATTGCCTTCACACATGACCAATAGCTTGTGTGGATCAAAATAACAGCATCTGGTTCTCTCACCTAAGCTGGAGTGTGGTGGCACCATTTCAGCTCACTGCAAGCTGCAGCTCCTGGACTGCAGCCAACCTCCCACCTCAGCCTCCCAAGTAGCTAGGACCACAGGCATGCCACAATGTTTTTTGCCCTTCAATACAGTTTAGGCATGAATAAAATATTGAGAAATAAAATTAAACTTCAGAATTATTTAACATGCTTTGGAAACACAGAGAAAGAATCTCACCAACATCTGGAGCATGGGCACTAGTTTACTTCAGGAATAGTTAAGGGGGAGTGTATATGTGAAATACTAAGTCTAATTTTAACTGTTTAGTAATAGTAGGTCCTTAACATGTCAGAAAATAAACATTTATGTCCTCTTATCCTCTTTAAATCCATCACGATACACCAACTTTTAAAAGGTGTTAAAAAACAGAAACCCTCTTCTTATTTTCTTAGGACAGGAGATAATAGCACATAAGAAAGGGTAGCAAATTTGGGGAAAGAGCAATGGTGGTCAACTAAAGATAACAAAAGGAGCTACAATGTGAATGCATACAGAGAGAGTACCACAGAGTGTAAAGCTGGTTTTCCTTGAAGGCTCAGAAAGGCTCAGAACCTGGAGGCACCAGATAATACTGAAGGCAGGGTAGGCAGCGGGCTGCTTAGACCCCTGGATCCCTACCCCACCCTACAAAGTTGCTCATTAGGCCTCCCCTACTTCCAACCAGGAGAAACAAGAGGTTATCTTCTAGAAGATTTAGTAAGAGATACTCTAGATTTGGGAACACTAGAGTGAACAAAAGTCAAGAATAGAACAGAAAACAGACCCATGCAGTGAAAATCTGAGCCCTGTGCTCATCATCCAGGACTCTGATGACCATAAGCCTTCCAAGCAGAATATTGGAAGATTCTCCTCTAAAGAAACTAAAGGGGCCCAGAGAAAGAACATATAAATCTTGACTTCCTTTTGGTGGACGAAGGGGAGGAGAGGTGAAGAGATAAATTAACAAGCCCTGCTGTCCACGTAGGACTTTCAATTGGCTTTTTAGTGCCATGTCAACTATATGCTGCAGACACTTGGGAAATGTCTCCAGCCTGACAATTCACACTAATTTAAAAAGAACAAAAAGAAAAAAGGGGAAAAACAAATTTGACAGGAATAGAAACTATAGGAAGCAGCATAGAACTAAAAAAATTATAAAACAAGAACTGCTATAAATAAAATACTCAGAGAGCTGAGAGAAGAAATTCTCTTTGAAATAAAAACAAGATTCTAAGAAACAGAAGCAGTCAGAGAAGTCAGGTGAAATCTTGAGAATTAAAATGTGATAGAAAAAAATAGAAAAAAGTTCAGTAAAATGTTTGGAAGGTAAATTAGAATAAGAAGTCAAAGAATTTGTTCTCCTGTCTTGAAGATAGGTAAAAAAATATATATATAAAGAGAAGCAAAAGAAATGGACATTAAAGAAAATATAATAACACAGAGGATCAATTCAGGAGATCTACCACTCAATGAAGAAAAATTTTAGAAAGACAGATAAGAAAGCATAAGGAGTCAGGTGTAATGGTGGCCTGTGCCTCTAGTCCCAGTTACTTGGGAGGCTGAAGTGAGAGGGTCCCTTGGGCCCAGGGATTTGAAGCCAGCCTAGGCAACATAGTAAAGTCTTGTCTCAAAAGGCAAAAAGAAGACTGGAAGGGAAGGGAAGGGAAGGGGATGGAAGGGGAGGGAAGGGAGAAAGAAAGAAGGAAAGAAAGAAAGAGAAAGAAAAGGAAGAAGGGAAGGAAGGTAGAAGGGAAGAAAGGAGGGAGGAAGGAAGGAAAGAAGGGAGGGAGGAAGGAAAAGAGAGAAAGAGGAAGGAAAGGAAAGAAAGAAGAGGACAGAAGAAAGGAAGGAAGAGAGGAAGAAAGGAAGAAAGGGAAATAGAGAAAGAGGAATGGAGGGAGGGAGGGAAAAAGGAAGGAAGGAAGGAAAGAAGGAAAGAAATACGAGGGAGAAAACTATCAAGTAAATAGTATAAGAAAATTTCTTTCAGAAGGGAGCTCCAGATTAAAAGTACACCAGTGCTGAGAACAGTGAATGTAAGGTTCACATCAAGATACATCACTGTGAAATCTCAGAATATTAGGGATATGGAAATGGCATTAAAAGTGTCCCATGAGGAAAATAATATGTGGTTCCCATACCAAGGTTCAGGAAGTAAAATGGCATCACACTTTTCAACATCAGCACTGGAAGCCAGAAGACAATGGGAAATGCCTTAAAATTTCTTAGTGGGATGTTTTTTAGCCTAGAATTCCATGCCTGGGCAAACTACCAAACAGAAACAAAGGAATAGTAAAATTTTGAGATGTGAAAAGTCCAAAAAATCCTTACTGTCCCTGCACGCTTTCTAAAGTAATGTCTGCAGGATATGCACCACCAAAATGAAGAGGTTGACGAAGAGGAGAACACAGATTCAGAAAACAGGAATTTCAAGTCAGAAAATCAGAACTGCATTCAAGGTAAATCCAAAAATGACAACCGTACAGCAAGCCTAGAAAATGATCAGTGCAGAGGAGAACAGTAAGATGAGGGTTTTGGAGAGAAAACTCTAGGAAAAAGATATTTCTAAATGGTGTGGTTACACTACTACTTCCTGACTTTTAAAGTTTAGATATTATCTATTGGCCCACTGTTACATGTGATGAGAATTTAGCTCTTACATCCCTCACTATCCAACAGCCACCATTCTTCCTCTCCCCTTGTGTTCCAACTTCCCAATTGACCTGATAATTCTAAAGTACTGTCAAATGCAGTCTTCGAAAAGGTGCTCAACATCACTGATCATCAGGGAAGTGCTAATGAAAACCACAATAAGATATTATTACCTCATGCCTATTAGGATAACTATTATCAAAAAGTCAAAAGATAAGTGTTGGCAAGGATGTGGTGTAAAGGCAACTCTTATACATTATTGGTGGGAATGTAACTTGGTGCAGCCATTATGGAAAACAGTATGGAGGCTCCTCAAAAAATGAAAAATAGAACTCACCTGTGAACCAGCAATTCCACTTCTGGATATATATCCAAAGTAAATAAAATCACTATCTTGAAGATATCTGCACTTGTATGTACATTGCAGCATTATTCACAACTGCTAAGATACAGAAATACCTACGTGCCCATCCACAGATGAGTGGATAAAGAAAATTTATATAAATGTCATTATTCACAATGGATTCAGCCATTAAAAAGGAGACCCTGTCATTTATAACAACATGGATGAACCCAGAGGACATTAAGCTAAGTGAAGTAAGCTGGACACAGAAAGGCCAATACTGCATGATCTGACTTATATGGTGGTTGCCTGGGGTGGAATGAGGAAGAAATGGGTAGATGTTGGTCAAAGGGTATAAAGTTTCAACTATTCAAAATAAGTAAGTTCTGGAAATTGAATGTACAGCAATGTGACTATAGTTAACAATACTGTATTTTCACCACAACAAGAGTATGTGAGGTGATTGATATGTTAATTAGTTTGATTGTGGTGATCTATTTCACAATGTATATGTATATCAAAACATTATTTTGTACACCTTGAATATATGCAATTTTTGCTTGTCAATTGTATCTCCAAAAAGCTTTCAAAAAGCTAAAAATAAATTCAACAATATGAAACACATGAGGAGCATGATACCAGGGTCTTAGAAGAGGGCAGGTTAAGGGAGAGGTGGCTTGGGCCGAGAGTATCAGGAAAGGAGGTAATAGCACTTAAGTCTTAAAGAACAAGTACTATGGAGGTTCCTGCATAGTCTGTGGAACAGAATGAGAGAGGTCTCAACCACTGTTGAATAAATAAGTGAATGATAATCTACAGCTTTATAGGACTCCTAATTTCCAATTATATCAAACCCAACAAAGACCTTCCAAAAGAGCATTTCTGACCAACATAAAGCTCATTTGCACACAATGACCTGCTATTATGATCCCAACTGTGAGTCACACAGGGCTCTTCAAGGCCCTAAGCCAATCGCTACATGACCCTGTGAATATTCTGAACATTGAAGACTGTGGCATTAGTGATTCACTTTTGCTCCTCTTCTCTTCTCTTCTCTTCTCTTCTCTTCTCTTCTCTTCTCTTCTCTTCTCTTCTCTTCTCTCCCTCCTATCAGTTTAGTTGGCCATTTGACATGTTGCCATGATCTCTTCTCTTCTCTTCTCTTCTCTTCTCTTCTCTTCTCTTCTCTTCTATTGGCATTATGCATTCCTGGGAGTATTGTGTGTTGGGACAATAATTCATTACTTGACTGACATATTACCTGAAATTCTGATGATCAGGTTACATCATAGTCAGAAAAGAATTGGGACAATGTCCTGAATATCTCCTATACTTCTTAAATTTCTTGCTGTAATTGGTCATCATACAACAAAATCTTATTAATTTGGGACATGTGCAGGCTAATTTTCCCTGGCTTGTATCCAGGGAAAATTGACATCTTCCAAAAAATTCATGGGCAAATTGGGAAGGTGAATGTAATTATAGAAGATATATTTAACCTAGCATGAATGCACTTTGTGCTGATTGCAAGTGAATCACATTATTCTGTACTTGAGCCTTGAACCTCATCACTTAGAAGCATTCTTTAGCTATGATGTGTAATTATGTTTAAATGTATTGGGAACAAGCTAAATGACATCAGTATGTTATTTTATTTTTTAAGTTTTGAGGTACAATTGTGACTTTGTTACATGCATAGATTGCATAATTAGCAAGTCAGGGCTTTTAGGCCATCATCACATGAGTAACATAACTCATGTTATGAGTAACACATCATAACATAAGTAATTTCTCATTGTCAATCCCACTTTCACTCTCTAAGCTCTCTGAGTGTCCATGGTCTGTCATTCTATTCTCTATGTCCATGTGCACACATCATGTAGCCCCCATGTGTGAGAATATGCGATATGTGTCCTTCTGTGTCTGACTTGTTTCATTTAAGATGATGATCTCCAGTTCCATCCATGTTGCTACAAAATACATGATTTTATTATTTTTTATGGCTGAGTAGTATTAAGTGACATTATTTTCTAAAGTCCAAGCCAACCAAATTGCCTAGCCTGCACTTTGGAGCCATTATTAAGTAAAATGAGGGTTATCTGAACACAAGCACTACATATCCTGCAATACTGCAACAGTCAGTCTGGTAACTGAGATAATTATTCGGGGATTAAAGGGTGGGTCATGTATACAGTGTGGACACAGGGATGACATTTGTACCATGCAAGACAGAGCAGGATTGGTGATATTTCATCTTACAACTCAGGATGGCATGCAATTTAAAACTTACAAATTGTTTATTTCTGGAATCTTCCATTAAATATATTAGGACCATGGTTGACCGCAAGTAACTGAAACTGTGGAAAGTAAATCCACAGATAGGGAAGGACTACTGTAATGCCAGGAACAGAGCATTAAGGGTGATTCTGGTCAAGGCTCAGGGGAAAAGAATAGCTGTAGGGGAAGTCTGAATCTTCTTATAGATTATTTAGGTGGTCATGACCAGAATGCTGAGAGAAATGTGGACAGTAGAGGCTATTCTGATGAGTTCTCAGATGGAAATGAGGAACAATAATTGGAAGCTGGAGGAAAGACCATCCGTTTACAAAGTGGCAAAGGACTTAATTGGATTATGTTCATGTCCAAGGGCCTGAACAGTGGGCAGAGTTTAAGAAAGATGAAGCAGTATATTGGGGGAAGAAATTTCTAAGAAAAATGTTGAAGGAGCTGCATAGCATCTTTGAACTTCATATAGTAAAATGCAAGAGGAAACAAATGATTTAAGGTGGAATTCATAATTAAAAGGGAGACAGAACATAAAGATGTAGAAAATGTGCAGCCTGGCCATATAAAGAATGAAAAAGCATGCAAGGATGTGGCCAAGTGATGCTTTGATACAAGGATTGATATGAATAGAAGGAAGCTAGGTGCTGTTCATCACATCAATGGGAGAATGGCTCTGAAGTCATTTCAGAGATCTTTGAAGCTGTCCCTCTCATCACAGGCTCCAGATAAGAGAACCTTGAGGTCAGAAAGGGCTTGGTACTCCCCACATTCTAGCACAGTGCCCCTTTGCTGCTCCAGTTGTGGTTCAAGTGGGCTTAGATGAGACTTGCGCTGCCACTGCAAAGGGCACAGACTGTGAGCCTTGGTGGTGTTCATGTAGTACTGACTGTAGATACACAGAGTGCAGGAGCTGTGGGGCCATGGTGGTCCACCTAGGTGTGAAAGGATGTTTCCGACAGCCTGCCACAGTGGTGTAGCCACAGCAGAGAGGTCCTCCTAGGGCCATGCTCAGGAAAACGGGGGGGGGGGCGGTCAGAGCAGCCACCGAGACCCTAGAACTGTAGAACTATCAGCCTGAGAGAGCTGCAGGCAGAGACTCCAATCAGATTGCTGCTGCATGGGCTGAGCCCAGCAAAGCCACGGGGCAGAGCTATCTGAGGGCCTTTGGGGCCTAACACCAAGGCCCCCAGGCAGCCCAGTCCCATGGTAGGCATGTCCAGGAGGCAGCACATGGAGTCAAAGGTTATTCTCCAGTTTTAAGATTTAATGCTGTCTTCCCTGTTGGACTCGCTTGGGGCCAGTTACCCTTTTTTCTTTCCTGTCGCTCCCTTTTGGAATGGGCCTGTCTATACTATGCCTCTCCCAGTATTGGATTTTGGAACTAGATAACTTCTTTAATAGGTTCACATGTGGAGGAGAGTTTGCCTCAGGATAAGTCCTGTGTTGTGTCTCACTCATATCAGATTTAGATGACACTCTTAGATTTACATTTTGACTTTTAAGTTGGTTCTGGAACAAGTTAAGACTTTGGGACTATTGGAATAAAATGAACACATTCTGTGTATGAGAAGGACATGGATTTGGGGGCCAAGGGTGGAATGCAGTGGTTTGAATGTGTCCCTCAAAGTTCACGTGTTGGACACTTGATCCTCAATGCGGCGGTGCTGGGAGGTGGCGTCCAACAGGAGATGTTTGGGTCATGGTGACACCACCCTCATGAGTGGATTCATGTTGTTATCACAAGAGTGTGTTCCTTATAAAAGGATGATTTTGACTCCCTCTTTCTCTGTCTTACCCTCTCTTTTCCCTTCCACAATGTGATGACACAGTATTCCTGGTTATCTATAACCAAGTCTTATTCTATGAATGGAATCCCAACTTCCACAACTTTCCACATATACTATTTATCAGGGGACATGTTACTTACCATAGAAATAAGTGTAGTTTTCCTAAAATGAAACTCTGATCTCCTTGTTTGGAATGTTTTCCTCTCTTTTATCCAGAAGTCAAAAGATATATCCATTTTTAAAGGACCTTACATGCCTCTATGTCATCAAAAAGCGTTCATTCACTCAATAAACATTTACCACCAGTTTTCTCTGTGCTGAGTATCATGGTAACGAAAAGAAACATCGTAGGCCATGCCTTCAGGGTATTTGCATTGCATATGCGGAATGACAGAAGTAAATGACTATGATACAGTAGAATGTATCAAATTATGAGCACAAGGGAGGAAATAATGATAAATGTATGGGGTAGCTTATCAGGAAAACTATTATTGAGGAGGAAATATTTTAACTGGTTTTGACACATGAGTAGGAGTTTGCAGAATGAACACGCAAAAAAAAATGAAACATTCCAAGAAGATGAAACAGTTTCAGCAAGTTTGGCAAATTTTATTCTTTACCGCTTTCTTGGCTACCCTAAGACATATTAGGCTTACTTTCTCTTTAATCTTGGACAAGTTTTTTGTTTGTTGGTTTGTTTGTTTTAGCTTTTTAATGCTTCTTTTGCATACTCTGCTAAAAGAGTAATAAGAACATACACTACTTTATAAGGTTGTATTAAAGAGTGAAAATGAAATAAATATAAGATGTTTAGCACAATGTCTGATACATAGTCAAAACTTCACAAGTAATATACATACCTTGAGGGTGTATGGAACTTATCCACATACTATACATTTTTGTTGTAGTTGCTTAATGAACATAATTGTAATTCCTTTCATTTTTGCCAAATTCTGTTTCTTATACATGTGTCTTATCTAAGTACCTGCAGGAAAAAGATGAGGGTTTATCCGTTCTATACCCAGAGTACCCAACAGAAAGTCTTGGATGCACATTATTGAAGGCTTAATAATTCTAAATATTGTTTACATATAACAAATGCTTTTGTCAATGAAAAATTCATCATGCAATTTTGATGATGAAAGATAAATCAAAACTTCCTACTTCTAGTGCCTATACTGTAAGACATACAGAAAAATGTGTTTTTACTCCGTAAAGGCAATGAGTCATGGCTAAGTACTTTCACTTGAAGTGGTGGAATAAGATCTGACACAGAGTTTATAACTTCCTTGGGATCTGACCATCTCCTCAGCCATTCAAGAAGCATACACGGAATCAGAGTCATCTGCATTACAGATGGGACATCTTTCTCCCAAATGAGTCCTTCCTTCTAACTCCTTTCCGAAATCTCACCTGACCAGGACATTCTTTGACAACAAAAGATACATTGACATTATAAAAAGTGTCCCCCATGATTTGTAGAGAGCAATCTCCAGGTAGGAGGGAGAATCACGTTTAGAAATAAAGTGTCAGAGTCATGTGACCAGCGGTTTGTAAAAGATACTGCATAGACCAGGGACAAAGGTGTTTGTCCCTTTGTCCCCCACTAAGGAAGAAATATGACAAGTGTTTCCAATAGGAACACTGGAGCACAGCAGGAAAAGGAAACGGGTTAGTTTTGGAGTATTTAAATGGGTTAGTTTTGGAGTATTTAACTAGAAACACACAATGATGTAATTACATGATTAAATTTTCCACGAGGTAAATAACAACAAGGAAATAATGACATGGTGGCAATGGGCCTTCAGCAGGGTATAAAGGAGGCTATAGACCCAGAAGACTTCCAAACACAGGAGCTTCAATCTCTTGGAAACTCACCCAGATCCTCCCCGTTCTGACACCATGGTCAACTCCTGTTGTGGCTCCGTGTGCTCTGACCAGGGCTGTGGCCAAGACCTCTGCCAGGAGACCTGCTGCAGCCCCAACTGCTGTCAGACCACCTGCTGCAGGACCACGTGCTGTCGCCCCAGCTGCTGTGTGTCCAGCTGCTGCAGGCCCCAGTGCTGCCAGTCTGTGTGCTGCCAACCCACCTGCTGCCGCCCCAGCTGCTGCCAGACCACCTGCTGCAGGACCACCTGTGCCGCCCCCAGCTTTGCTGTGTGTCCAGCTGCTGCACTTCCAGCTGCTGTCCAGCTGCTGCAGGCCCCAGTGCTCCAGTCTGTGTGCTGCCAGCCCACCTGCTGCGCCCCAGCTGTAGTCTCAGCTGCTGCCGTCCCTCTTGCTGTGAATCCAGCTGCTGCCGCCCCTGCTGCTGCCTGCGTCCAGTCTGTGGCCGAGTCTCCTGCCACACCACTTGCTATCGCCCAACCTGTGTCATCTCCACCTGCCCCCGCCCCTTGTGCTGCACCTCCTCTTGCTGCTGAGCCCCTGCCCTGGCTAACTCCCCTTCACCGCTGGCCCACAGATGCAGACCCTTCTACTGTGCTGGCTATTAGGACACATGGAGTGGGGTTGATGTCATTCAGTAGGATGGACCTCATGTTTCACCCCTTGTGCTGCACCTCCTCTTGCTGCTGAGCCCCCTGCCCTGGCTAACCTCCCCCTTCACCGCTGGCCCACAGATGCAGACCCTTCTACTGTGCTGGCTATTAGGACACATGGAGTGGGGTTGATGTCATTCAGTAGGATGGACCTCATGTTTCCAATGAGCCCATCACTATTTCACTGACTCTGTGAGAATATTCTGGTTCATTTTAAGCTCCCTCCCTTGCTTTCTTTTTCTTCCAGTGGTAGCACAAAATAGGAATTAATTTGTAATCCACTAACTAAGAAATTATTCCAATCCTCTAATTTCCTTATTTTCTTTACCACTTTGAGGTAGAGATTCTCCTTCTCAGTGAGGTAGACATTATCTGCAGGACCGGTTTTGTCACTGATGTTGCACCCTCAGACCCAGGGGCCCAGTTATATTCTGTGTTTCTCCTGGCATGAATTTCTTATGCTTTGTTGCATCTCTGCTTTCTAATAAACTTTTCTGCACATAAGAATTCATCGGTATCATTCTCTATTGCTTTCATAATTATTTTACTGATTCCCTAGCAATTATATTTTACACAAAGATACAGGAAGAGCAACCCATGTTGAAATCACTTTGAAGATACATGCTATATCAAATATACATAATTTAAGGTATTGGAATAAAAGTGCTGTTTGTATATGTGTGTGTGTGTTTGTGGGTGTGCACAGGTGTTTTAAGATCCTAAATTAAGACAGATTTAATTCATGCCTTAGCTCTTGAAACACATTTTATCTTTAACACATTATATCTAATTGTCATACTATTGTCCCTATTTTGACAAAAAAGATAAAACCAAATTTCTGGAAAGTAGACACCAATGAAAGAAGGGAAATCTTCTATAAAGAATTTAATGTACTCAATTCATTTCACTCAATAAACAACATTTTGGAATTTATGATTAAAAACTGGACTTTATTTCCCAGTGAGTTCTGCTGAGAAAAAAAAGCATATTGAGCTGTATTTCATCTGGATAGCATGGTATACTTCTGACTGTGGTCTCTACAGGTTTATGTTATAATTTAAACATCTCCACACTTAACATTTTAACATATATAAACCCAGCAAGGCTGAAAATTTCAAGACTCACTTTTGTTTTGAAGAATCATTTTATTGGAATTAGTTCATAGCTTTGAGTAGGTCGCAGCTGGGGTGCATATCCTAATTAGAATTCCCAAGAGTGGTGCCTTCATTTGAATCTGAAGTAATGTCGTAAGTGATTATAACTTGGCATTCTAGTGGGAGCACCTGCTCTTGATGTTTTTACTTTTATTTGACTATTATCAGCTCTGAAGTGACCCTAAGCTATTGAGCCAATCAAGTTTAAGATGATTTGTTCAGATATCATTGATAAGATTCACATTTTTTCTGATGTCTTAAGAAAATGTTGCCCAGATGTTAATCACAGAGTTATGACACCTTCTTAAACATGAGGCAGGATAAATAAAGTTAGGAAGCTGTGAAAGGAAAAGAAATATTGGGGCCCCAAATCACTAAGCTAAAGGGAAAAGGCAAGCTGGGAACTGCTTAGGGCAAACCTGCCTCTCATTCTGTTCAAAGTCACCCCTCTGCTCACTGAGATAAATGCATACCTGATTGCCTCCTTGGGAAAGGCTAATCTGAAACTCAAAAGAATGCAAGCATTTGTCTCTTATGTACCTATGATCTGGAAGCCCCTCCCAGTTTCAAGGTGTCCTGCCTTTGCTTCGAGTTGTCCCGCCTTTTGCGGACCAAATCCATGTTCATCTTACATATGTTGATTGATGTCTCATGTCTCCCTAAAATGTGTGAAACAAAACTGTGATCTGACCACCTTACACACATGTCGTCAGGACTTCCTGAGGCTGTGTCACAGGAGCGTCCTCAACCTGGGGAAAATAAACTTTCTAAATTAACTGGGACCTGTCTCAGGTTTTCAGGGTTCACATTTTGGTAATCATGAAGGGATTCTGAGTGGAGATGCTCCTGACCTTTGACAAATATCCTGTTGGTGCCTAGTAAGAGCATGAGCTAACTTCATGGCTTAAACCAATAGGACAATTTGCTGAGGTCTGGGAGCACCCTCCCCAGAGAATCCCTGATCTTCCAAAATTTGGTAAAGATCTAAAGTTCATTTTGCTGTACAACTCCCCCACCTATTTTTGTTTTTAGAGTTTTACTTGCTTAAGGCATGTAGCGTTTGAGCTCACTCCCAGCAGTGAAGACCAGTTTGAGTATTTTTTCCTCCTTCTAGGATAGTAGAAAGCAGCCTTCAGCCTGAAACCCATCCCTAGGTAAGTAGCTGAACTGGGGCTTTGTCTTGGCTAAAGTTTAACAACCAGCTGGTCTTAATTTCTCCTTATCATTAGAGTGCTTGGTGATCCTATTGTTGGAGATTTTTGTTGTTTGTTTTCTCTTTCTCCCATCAGACTTGACCAACTGTACATGACTTGGTCAAATCCTAGAGAGAATTCAAAATTATGGGTAACAAAACCTCTCTAATTTGGCTAAAATTCCTTGCAGCTGCAAAAGAAGAAAACAAAAAGAACCAAAGAACCATGCACTTGGTTTTTGTCTTTGCTTCCTGTCTTAAAAAACAAATGTTCTTTTTTTTTTTTTTTTTTTTTGAGACAGAGTCTCGCTTTGCCACCCAGGCTGGAGTGCAGTGGCCAGATCTCAGCTCACTGCAAGCTCCGCCTCCCGGGTTTATGCCATTCTCCTGCCTCAGCCTCCCGAGTAGCTGGGACTATAGGCACCCGCCACTTCGGCCGGCTAGTTTTTTCTGAATTTTTTAGTAGAGATGGGGTTTCACCGTGTTAGCCAGGATGGTCTCCATCTCCTGACCGCGTGATCCGCAAGTCTCAGCCTCCCAAAGTGCTGGGATTACAGGCTTGAGCCACCGCACCGGCCAACAAATGTTCTTTTACTTACTTTTCTTCCCCCCTACACCTCTTTTCCCCTTTGCCATCTGTAGTACCAACAAATCTAGAGAAGGCTTCTAATGACTTGAACACCCTTAATGAATTCAGAACAAAGGTTGCCACTCACCCCTTTTGGCGTGTTTTGTTTTCTTTGTGGAGTTTCAAGAGTCATGGGTAGATTCTTCTTAAGTCTAAGCCTCTGCTTTCCTGTATTGGATGACCTGACCTCTTTGGCTTTGACATTGTTGTGTATAATGGTAGATGAGAGCCACAAAGTTAAGGGGTGGCTGAGCGTGGTTTACAAAAAGTGGTCTTGGCTGTTGTTTTGTTTTCCTTCTAGGAAGTTGCTGTTTAAGGATCCTAATTCTAGTTCAGAGATGCATTCTAAAGTGTCTTCTCTGTTGCTTTTTCTCCCCAAATTAAGCTCTATTCAGCTTGTCTGTGTGTAGTTGCATGAGGAACTGAACTGTTGTTTTCAGTGGTCACCCACGGTGGAGTCCTGCCCACAAGCAGCACATATTGATCCTCCACAGAAAACTGCTAGGCCTCAGCTCAGTTCCTCTTTTTAAGAAGAAAACTGGGAAACAAATAATCTAAGAATGAGGAGAAAACAAGGAGAATGGCCCCCTTTCGAGCACTCCATAGGTTTTATGGAACCTGGTCTTTTTATAGTTTATGTAAAATGAACGTAATCAGGTCTTTGTGCACATTTACATTAAGAAAAAACAGCCCATGTAAATTAGTTCAACCATTGTGGAAGACAGTATGGTGATTCCTCAAGGATCTAGAACCAGAAATACCATATGACCCAGCAATCCCATTACTTGGTATATACCCAAAGGAATATAAGTCATTCTACTATAAAGACACATGCACACGTATGTTTATTGCAGCACTATTTACAATAGCAAAGACATGGAAACAACCCAAATGTCCATCAATTATAGACTAGATAAAGAAAATGTGGTGCACATACACCATGGAATATGATGTAGCCATAAAACAGAATGAGATCATGTCCTTTGCAGGGACATGGATTAAACTGGAAGCCATCATCTTCAGCAAACTAACACAGAAACAGAAAACCAAATACCACATGTTCTCCCACATAAATGGGAGTTGAACATTGAGAACACATGGACACAGAGCGGAGCAACACACATCAGGGGTTGTTGAGGGGTGGAGAGTGAGGGGAGGGAACTTGGAGGTTGGGTCAATAGGTACAGCAAACCACCATGGCACACATATACCTATGTAACAAACCTGCACATTCTGCTGCATGTGTATCCCATTTTTGTTTTTGTTTTTTTTTAGAAGGAAGGAAGGAAGGAAAGAAAGAAGGAAAGAAAGAAAGAAAAAGAAAGAAAGAAAGAAAGAAAGAAAGAAAGAAAGAAAGAAAGAAA